ACTGAACCAGGACTGAACCAGGACTGAAACCAGGACTGAAACCAGGACTAAAGGAACCAGGACTGAACCAGGACCAGGACTAAACCAGGACTAAACCAGGACTAAACCAGGACTAAACCAGGTCTAAACCAGGTCTAAACCAGGACTAAACCAGGACTAAACCAGGACTGAACCAGGACTGAACCAGGACTGAACCAGGACTGACCAGGACTGAACCAGGACTGAACCAGGACTGAACCAGGACTGACTGAACCAGGACTACACCAGGACTACACCAGGTCTAAACCAGGACTAAACCAGGACTAAACCAGGACTGAACCAGACTGAACCAGGACTGAACCAGGACTGAACCAGGACTGAACCAGGACTGAACCAAGGACTGAACAAGGATCCTAATCCTGGTTTAGACCTGGTCTAGTCCTGTTTCAGTCCTGGTTCAGTCCTGGTTCATGTGTTGTAGTCTATTATTTATGTTCTGTAGGTGATTATGAACAGCGTTAATGTTAATAACTTGATTCCGCATCATTCTGAGTTAAAAAAAAAAACAAAAACATCAAATATTTCAGATTTTTACTTGGCTGTCATCTTTGTCTATATTTACTTCAACAATATATCACACTTAAAAATTAGTTATCGTGACAGGTCTGCACACCTCTGGCTTTAAAGACATTTTTTTTTCTACGTTTCTGTAAATATTTTGAAGGAGCCTCTGTCCGTTTGTGTCCTCGTCCTTGAGCTGTCAGTCTGATGCAGCTTTGACTGAAGTTCAGATCAATCAGTTTGGTCATGGCTCATTCATCAGTGTATTTTTAAACTCTACTGTCTCTAATGTAATATTCTCTGTACTCTGTGTACACTCTTGGTTACATTTACTTTAGCGAGTTTTAGAAGATAGTAATAGTAGCAGTAGCAGCAGTAGTAGCAGTCGTCCTTCTCTGCGGGCTTAAAAAAATCTGAATCAGACTGATGTTAATTATATTATTCTTAAATAATTCCAAATGGTCTGTCCACTTCCTTTCAGAGCTTTTCCAATGGTTTTGCTGCTTCCAGACATGTATTTTCATATTAAAGCATTTGACCAATCACATTTCAGCCGTCATTTGTTGCCAGGCAGAGTCAAAGTCAAAGAAGTCTGAGGCCTTCACAATCCGTTCTGCAAACTAAATGTCCATGAAACTGTTGCTTCAACCAATCAGATTTTGAGTTGGTTTCGCCAGGGCCAATAGCAGCGTACGATGTCACCGTGTTCAGACCCAGTGATTGGACAAAGAAAGAGAACCAGGTCTAAACCAGGACTAAACCAGGACTAAACCAGGACTAAACCAGGACTAAACCAGGACTAAACCAGGACTAAACCAGGACTAAACCAGGTCTAGAACCAGGACTGAACCAGGACTGAACCAGGACTAAACCAGGACTCTGAAACCAGGACCCAGGACTAAACCAGGACTAAACCAGGTCTGAACCAGGACTAAACCAGGACTAAACCAGGACTAAACCAGGACTAAACCAGGTCTGAAAACCAGGACTGAAACCAGGACTGAACCAGGACTGAAACCAGGACTAAACCAGGACTAAACCAGGACTAAACCAGGACTAAACCAGGACTAATCTTGAACTTGAGCGAGAGAGCTAGAGACAGAACCCCGAGCCCGCAGAGGAGGCTGTCCGCAAAGCGTGTGATCGCAGTCCTTTCGGTCCTTTCATCTACAGTCACCCAACAGTCTACGTGGGCGCACCTTCGAGCCCATCCTGATAAACAGTTCTGGTTTAGTTCTGGTTTAGTCCTGGTTAAGCACCCCCCACTTCTCACTTCCCCCTTCTGTAGAATAAGATGCTTTTATAGCCATAAAATAGTTATTGAGGAGTGGATTCTTTCAGACAGAGGAGGACTACGGTGGCTTAGGTGTGAAAAGCACAGTCTGCCACTGAGCAGCAGCAGTAGCAGTAGTTTTCACAGTGTACTTTAACTCCTACTTGAGTAATATTTGTATTGAAGTACAAATATTACTCTTACAGTACTCTTACTTGAGTAAAAGTTGTGTTTCCTCTTCCCTCTGTGAGTGAGTCTAAAGTGACAAAAGCTTCATGTGACAAAATGAAATAATTTGAACATTTGTTTCTCACTCTGCCTCTTCAGATCTGATTCAGTTTGTTTCATTTTTGTGTCTGTCCTTTGAAAACACCAGAGATTTTTGTGTCGTATTTGAAGTTTTGTCAGCTTACATTCACTTCAAATTATAAACCAACTTTTTTACTCTTGCTTTGTTCATTTCTCTGACCACGACTTTGTACTTTTACCAAGTTACAGGTCAGAATGTGTGTTTTTCGAGGTATTTTCGAGAAGTAAAAGCAGCTGTAACTGAATAAATGTAAGATAGAGCCGTTTACTCCCATCCAAAAATGTGCATCTTTAAGGACATTTCTTGGCTGCTCTTTCCTCTCGTCTCCGTGCTGATCTGAGCAGGTCCGGGCTGACTAATCTCTGACGTGTAATATTTGTGTAGCGAGCGGCTCCATTCAGACTAATCCTTGTGAGTGTGAGTAAAGCCCTGGAGAAGACACCTCCTCTGTCTGTGTCGATACTGCAGCGTACGTCACAGCTGCAGCCCTGCGCACATGGAGAAGTCTGAGCTTTAGTGACGCAGTAAAGGGAGGCTGCTGCGTGTACTGTATCTGTAATAGCAACTGTACAAGTCGTCCTGATCTCTGTCCTTGTCCCGGAAAATTCAGGACAGTCACGAAATCCCAAATCCGGCCCTAAATGTCCCGAAAATTACACTCAAACACAATACTGAGTAGTTATTTTCTGATAAATATTCGAAACTCTTAGTCTGACGTACTGTCATTCCGACAACCCTCCACGCCGACATGTCCCCATTCTACACTTTTTGATGCCGCCTTTCTGACACTAATGAACCAGGACTAAACCAGGTCTAAACCAGGTCTAAACCAGGACTAAACCAGGTCTAAACCAGGTCTAAACCAGGAAACCAGGTAAACCAGGTCTAAACCAGGAAACTAAACCAGGTCTAAACCAGGACTAAACCAGGTAAACCAGGTCTAAACCAGGTAAACCAGGACTAAACCAGGTCTAAACCAGGTCCAGGTAAACCAGGTCTAAACCAGGACTAAACCAGGACTAAACCAGGACTAAACCAGGACTAAACCAGGACTAAACTAAACCAGAAACCAGGTTAAACCGGTCTAAACCAGAAACCGAGGAGCTAAACCAGAAACCAGAAGAAACCCCGAGGTCTAAACCAGGTCTAAGGAGGCTGTCCGCAAAGCGTGATCGCAGTCCTTTCGGTCCTTTCATCTACAGTCACCCAACAGTCTACGTGGGCGCACCTTCGAGCCCATCCTGATAAACAGTTCTGGTTTAGTCGTAAAGCCGTAAGCGATGAAATGAAATCATTCTGTAAAGTGTGTAGAAAAGGAGGCAGATGTTAGAGCACATGTTATCAGCCAGTCACACTGCACCAACACCGCGTCAGTACAGACCAACACTTCTCGTCCTATTTTATTAAACAGGATGATTCCGTGTATGAATCATATCGTTCACTTCACTGACAAAACTGTATTCGGATTCAGCTACAGCTAAAGCACTGGTCACAAACGCACCCAAAAATGGTCTGATTCAAAATTCATCTTTTATTCGTGTCTCTGTATCATCAGCGAGGATTTTGGTCTTAAAACGTTCATATTAACCCGCTGCATGATCCTGGTGTTTTTATTTCACTATTTTGTCTGTAAATAAATTCTTATTCCTGACAAGAAAACTTGGCTCCAAATTCGCTCCTGTAAATGCATTTGTGTATTTTGTGTCAGTGTCAGTGAGCACAGCCAGATCATTTTACTTCTATGGGGTGATGGGGAAACTGTTGTTGTGTCTTTAGGCAAAACCTTTCATTTCCGTGGTCCAGTATGACTGTGGTGTGTGTGTGTGTGTGTGTGTTGGTGGTGCTTGGAAAGGGCTGGTGGCGCAGTCTTACTCCCATCAGTCTACCCCAGGGGTCGTCAATCTTAAATACTCAAAGAGCCATTTGGAGCGTCTCCCACAGAAAAGAAAAACACCCGGAGCTACAACGCGTTTTTGACGTCTAAGAGTTTAACATTTATGTTACGTTTGACATTTATGAAATCAGAGAAATGCTACCGAGAACACAGAATTTTATTTCTGCATATAACAAAAACATTTTGAACTCTTAAAAAAAAAAAAAAACACTTGGTTGTTGTTTACTTTCAGATGAAATACTCAATGACTATTTAAGTCGTGCTCATAGGAAATAAAAATCCAGACTTAAATTATCCACCTGCAGCGAGCCAAAAATATCTGCTTCTGTGTTTTGTCATCATTTTATCGCATGTACTGGAGCATGAATCTGCCCACGTAGCAGTAAATGTTCAGTTTTCTTCAGAAACTTGGATTTGTCCATCATTTACCTCCCAGGGGTCAAAAAACTCAATGAATCATGCTGCTGGTGCCGGTAAATCTGGGCTGCGAGATCTGTGCCTGGTGTCGCACATCGGCGACTGTGACGCATATTTTAAGTGACAAAAATATTATTAAAAACATTTTAGAAGATTACCATTATCTCCAAATTTAGAACTACATTTAAAAACAAACTAAAATAAAAATATAAAATACACTATCTCAGTAGGATCTTACCAGCACCAACTGAGTGACTGAACAACGGCGTCTTGAAAAGCTTTATATAAATATAATCCTTTAATTATGAAATTCAGAAAATATTTTGTAGTCCATCAAAAATGTTCTAAAATTAAGATGTAAATGTGTTAGTTGATGTTCAGTGGGATGGTGAGCTTTTATACAAATAGAAAAGAGTGCAGATATTTGATTTATGAACAGGACTTAAATGAATGATCCTCTCCTCTTGTTTTGAGGATTACACAAATCCCAGCTTCATCCGTCATTCATTTGTGACTTTATGTTGCCATGGTGACGTAGAGACTGACACGTGCTCTTGTTTCCGCAGTCGGAGTGTCGGTGTTCGGGGCTTTCCTGCGCTCAGAGTTCAGCGAGGAGAACCTGCAGTTTTATTTGGCCTGTGAACAGTACAAACACTCGTCCAATAACTTCAGTCTGCAGAGGAGGGGCCGCGACATCTGCAACACCTACATCGTGCCAGGGTCGCCCCGAGAGGTACGACCTGCAGTACTCTTACACACAAGTACACACAACACTGCCAGTATGTACAGGCTGTCACTGAAACTAAAGGACTGAACCTGGACTGAACCAGGACTAAACCAGGTCTAATCCAAGACTGAACCCAGGACTGAACCAGAATTTAACCAGGTCTAAATCAGGTTTAAATTAGGTCTAAACCAGGAGGTCTGAACCGAGGACTGAACCAGGACTGAAAATGGACTGAACCAGGATTGAACAAGGACTGAAGCAGGAGGTCTAAACCAGGTCTAAACCAGGTCTGAACCAGGTCTCAACCAGGTCTAAATCAGGTCCAAACCGAGGATTGAACCAGGTCTGAACCAGGCATGAACCAGATCTAAACCAGGTCTGAACCGAGGACTGAACCGAGGACTGAACCGAGGACTGAACGAGGACTGAACCGAGGACTGAACCGAGGACTGAACCGAGGACTGAACCGAGGACTGAACCGAGACTGAACCGAGGACTGAACCGAGGACTGAACCGAGGACTGAACCAGGACTGAACCGAAGACTGAACCAAGGACTGAACCGAGGACTGAACCAGGACTAAATCAGATCTAAACTGAGGACTGAACCAGGTCTGAACTAGGTCTAAACCAGGACTGAACCGAGGACTGAACCGAGGACTGAACCGAGGACTGAACCGAGGACTGAACCGAGGACTGAACCGAGGACTGAACCAGGACTAACCGAAGACTGAACCAAGGACTGAACCGAGGACTGAACCAGGCCTAAACCAGAACTGAACCAGGTCTAAACCTAGAACTGAACCGAGTACTGAACTGAGGACTGAACCAGGTCTAAACCAGGACCAAACCAGGACTAGTCTTGGACTAGGACTTGGAATCTAAATGATATAAAAAAAAAAAAAATTTTCTTTTTTTTCTTTTGTCAAAATACTAAAACGATGTGCCAAAATTTCTCAACAAGACACAAAAAGATCATCCTCTTCCAATTTGGAGCTTTGAACACGGAAACACAAACTCGAGAATGGAGCCAAAAACTACTAGAATTGCAAATTGAGCATTTCATTTTGATTGCCAGCTGCTCTGAGTGGGTGAGCGGAGTTTAACCTTTTATTACTGTATTCAGGAGCTGGTGTGAAATCCTGCTCGTTGTTCTGCTGGTGAAGAGAGACTAGAGTGCTCAGGTCGTGGAGCGGTGACGGCCTAAGGGACAAAACTGTAAAATGCAAAATATTACGTTACTTAAAGGTCCTATATTACACAAGATTAATTCTTATGAGCTTTAATCCTTTATTATTAGTTTGTCCACATCTCCAAAGCTCAGTTTTAAGGTCTGAAATTATCGATTATACATGACATCACAAGGTGGACCAGAGTGTTTTTGGTTTAACTCAGCCTAAATCTGCAGAGTTTGTGTGTTAAACATGTGAATGAAACAAAACACAACTCCAGGTCTGAGATGACAAAACTACATTATAACATCCATCCATCCATCCATTTTCTTCCACTTCTGGGGCTGGTTCGTGGAGGCACCAGTCTAAGCAGGGACTCCCAGACTTCCTTCACCCTGGACACTTCCTCCAGCTCCTCCAGGGGGGAACTCTAAAGCGTTCCCAGGCCAGCAGAGAGACATAGTCCCTCCAGCATGTCCTGGGTTTTCCCTGGGGCCTTCTCCCAGTGTGTCATGCCCGGAACACCTCCAGAGGAAGGCGTCCAGGAGGCATCAGGAACAGTTGCCTGTGTCTCAGCTGCACCTCTCGACGTGGAGGAGCAGTGGCTCCACGTCCGAGCTCCTCCTGTGTGACTGACCTCCTCACTCTATCTCTAAGGGAGCCAGTCAGCTCTCACCAAAATAACTGTGTGAAGATGCTGAACTTTTGCGCCGTATATGGACCAAACGCAGGACTGAACCAGGACTGAACCAGGACTGAACCAGGACTGAACCAGGACTGAACCAGGACTGAACCAGGACTGAACCAGGACTGAACCAGGACTAGGGTTTGGAATCTAGGAGCACCCCTGAGAGAACCCGAGCCCATAGAGCAGGTGTCTGCAAAGCTCGATCGGGTGTTGACTGTGCTTTGCCCCGTGGAACGTAGAGTTCTGCGTCGGTCCTTTCACCCACGGTCACCCAACGATCTACACGGGCGCACCTCCGGACCATCCCGACACTCGGAACCGTAGCGATGGTGTTTCACCGCTGCTGACATCGCGGTGATTTTAGCGAATTTGTATGAAGAAAAACGAAAAACCCACCACTTGACATTTGTATCAAGTAAAAATGATTTTTTTCCTTGTAATGACACATTACTGCGTTACAGCAAAAAGCAATGCATTACAGCAGTTTGTTACTTTTATAACACGTTAATCACAACACTGTTAACAGCAATTTAAAGACACTAAGCTACATGAATTTAGGTTAAATTGGCTCTAAGTCAAAATGAGCCAGTCAGCCAGCCAACCCGCGGACGAAACTCATTTCGACCGCTTGTATCTGTGATCTTGTCTTTTTGATCATTACCCAAAGCTCATGACCATAGGTGAGGGGAGGAACGTAGATTGAGCAGTAAACCGAGAGCTCTTCACCACAACAATCCAATACAGCGACCGCATCAATGCCGACGCTGCACTAATCCGCCTGTCAGTCTCACGCTCCGTCCTCCCCTCACTCGAGAACAAGACCCCGAGATACTTGAACTCCTCCACTTGAGGCAGGGACTCTCCATCCACCAGGAGAGGGCAAGACACTTTTTTCCGGTCGAGAATCATGGCCTCGGATTTGGAAGAGCTGATCCTCATCCCAGCCGCTTCACACTCGGCTGCAAATCGCCTCAGTGCATGTTGCAGGTCCTGGTTTGATGAACCACAGGACCACAGGATCTCATCTCAGCTACACTATAACATGGATCAGAAAATAGTGTAAGCTGGACCCTTTAGCCCAAAGCTTTTTTTCATTTTGGTTAAGTTCACTGCACTGAAAAACGTGTATTTACCGTGAGCGTGCTTGCATTTCCACAAACCTGACGAGGGCCTTATCCTGCTTGTTTCCATGGAAATATTGTTCCTTTGCCTATAATATTCCACAGCATGGGGAATGTTCCAAAGTGTGGGTTTAACCTTATATTTCCATGGAATCGTATAGATGCCACACAGGAAAGTTACATATTGTACCTTTAGTCATTAAAGGGCAAGGCAAGGCAAGTTTATTTGTAAAGCACAATTCGTACACAAAGTAATTCAAAGTGCTTTACAGAATAAGAAATACATTAAAATCATAATAAAAACAAATCAAAACATCAATAATCATCACAAAATTAAAGATTAAAATTAAAAAAGAGAGAGAGAGAGACATTAATTACATAAATTGGAGAGAAGAGTGTGGAATGAAAACCTTTCAGTTATATGCACAGTCAAACAGAACCGTTTTGAGTCTGGATTTAAACAGCGTCACAGAAGAGTCTGTCTCACATGTTCAGACTGTTCCAGGTTTTAGCTGCATGAACCTGAAACTCTGACTCCCCTTGTTTAGTCGTGACTCTGGGCACCAGCAGGAGGCTGGTCCCTGAGCTCCTCAGAGTGTGAGATGTTCATATGACACTAACATGTCACAGATGGACTTTGGTGCTCGGCCATGGAGACACTTGTACAAGCAGAGCTGCTTTAAAGTCTCTGAGCCACAGGAGCCAGTGCAGAGACCTGAGACCAGGACTTATGTGCTCGTACTTCCTAGTTCGAGTCAGGACCCGAGCTGCAGCGTTCTGGATGTTCTGGATGTTCTGGATGTTCTGGATGTTCTGGATGTTCTGCAGCGTCTCACAGCTCGTTTGGAGAGACCAGTGATCAGAACATTACAGTATCTAACCTACTGGAGACAAACACACGGATAAGTCTCTCTAAGGCTGCGTTCAGACTGCAGCCTGAAGTGACCCAAATCCAATTTTTTTGGCCCCTATGTGACCTGTATCTGATCTTTTAATGACAGTCTGAACGATACAGATCTGATTTTTTCAAATGTGACCCAGGACACTTGGATATGTGCTCCTGAAACTGATACATATCTGATCTTTTGACATGTGACTTCAGTGCGAACGGTCCAAAGTGCATTCATCCACCTACACGTTATCAACAAGACACAAACGTCACTATTCTGCGCTGAAGTAGGCAAAAATTGTTAATGAACTCTGTGTCACTGAAGTGAAGCACATCACCACTCACCACTCTTGGCTCCGTCTCCACATCCACATGTTCCTTTCAACGGACGTCGCTGCCGCTGCCCCACAAAACACCACGACCAAAAACCTCGTCCTTCTCCTTCTCAATCTCCTCCTTAAAACAAGTAAGTTGTTCATGTTCTGGCTCTTTAAAACTTTAAAATCTCCAGGTGCTCAATGCTGTGTCCATGTTTGGACAACTTCTGTAAACACAGAGACGCTCGCTGTGGTTGACGTCATCGTGTCTCCAGTGCACATGTGGGACACTTTTGGGCTGTTTAATGTTCACAGTGGTGATCATATACAAGTCACATTTAATTGGAAATGTGAACGACCTCGCAAAAACATCGGATTTCACAAAAAAATCCAAATTGAGCATTAAGCCCTGCAGTCTGAACGTAGCCCAAGTCTGATTTAGACAGTAAACCTTTGATTTTTGATGTTTTTTAGATGGTAAAAGGCTGCAGATGTTATTGATTTGATGTGGCTGTTAAAGTTCAAGTCTGAGTCCATTATTACCCCTAGATTTCTTGCCTGATTTGAAGGTTTTAGAGAGAGAGACTGGAGGTGACTGCTGACACTGTCCCTTTGTGTCTGTGGACCAAACACTATGACTTCAGTCTCGTCAGGGTTCAGCTGGAGAAAGTTGTTTTCTATCCACACACTGATCTGTTGGACGCAGTGACAAAGTGAGTCCACTGGTCCATAGTCTCCTGCTGCAGAGAGACGTAGATCTGAGTGTCGTCTGCATAATTGTGGTAGGACACATTATTGCTGCTTATTAACTGGCCTAATGG